TTAGTATCCACGGATTATTACCAAAAACTAATCAAAACCTAGCATAGTTCAGAGCATCTATGTACCAAGTTTCATCAAAATCCAATGAGTGGTTGTTTAGATATCAGTGGAACAGTCATGGAACCACTAAAAAATAGCTAATTATCATGCAAATTAGGTAATTAATATGCACGGATTTTTACCAAAAATTAATCAAATCTGCGCATATGTTCAGAGCATCTATGTACCAAGTTTCATCAAAATCCAATGAGTGGTTCTTTAGATATCAGTGGAACAGTCATAGAACAGCTAAAAATTAGCTAATTATCATGCAAATTAGGTAATTAACGAGCATGGATTTTTACCAAAACCTAATCAAATCTGCGCATTGGCCCAGAGCATCTATGCACCAAGTTTCATCAAAAACCGATGTATGGTTCTTGAGATAGCAGTGGAACAGTCGGACACACATACACACACACACACATACACACATACACACATACACACATACACACATACACACATACACACACACATACAGACACACTAACTGCAAAGACTCCCATTTTGTGCTTCGCACATGGGAGTCAAAAACAAGATGGCTGCCAGTCAGCCATCTTTGATCCAATTGTGAAATAAATCATCATGGACATGCATCCTAACATGTATAATCTATGTACCAAGTTTGAATGAAAACTGACAAAGCATGTCCAAAATACAACATTTTCAAAAAACAAGATGGCTGCCAGTCGGCCATTTTGAATTGAATCGCTAAACCACTGCATGTGCATATGTCCCACATAAAGTACTAGGCACATGCAAAGGCACATGCAAAAAATGAACGGAATCGGTCCAAGGGACTCTGAGATATGACTCCGGACGGACGCACGGACACACGGACGGACGGAGACCGAATTATAAGTCCCTGTTTTCGGACTTCGTCCGAACGGGGACTAAAAACACAGAAATAATACAAATGTAGTTTGCAAATCAGATAATATTACTGTACTTGTACACATTCATCAAGTTAGAATATTGCTTTAAATTAAATATTCCATCGAGGGAAATCTAGGTTAAAGGGTTAAACTGTGTGCATATATAATTAAAGAAGATTAAAAAAACAGAAAGTACTTGGATGGCTATTCAATGCCGAGATTCAATGTTTCTGAAAACCAGAAAGATGAGTATGTGAACCTCAGAATAGTTTTAGTGGTCTGAATTTTAAATGCATGCGAGCGAGTGAACGGTGAAGCATCACTTCCGAGTTTGCATGGTTGGAAATAAAGCAAAAATTATCCAGTTGATTTCAACAAGTGATTGCAAGTGAGCAGAAAAAAAAAAAATATCAAAAAGCAGAAGCAAGCAGGTTGGGCGGAATGAGTATTGAAGTCTGTTGAGACAAACAAGTTACGGTACTATTCAGCTATGTGAATGGTTATTTTACTTTGGGCTATACGACTACCCTTATTGTCAAAGCTCTGTTCAACAAATAATAAAAATAGTCATTTAAAAAAAAATAATTTCAATACATCAGTGATACTGTAAAATAATTTATTCTCGCTTGGAATAAATTTTCGCTTTTTTCGCTGAAGGAATGATTCAGTGAAAATAAAATCCAGCGATTTTACATTTTTTCCTATATTTTACATTCAACCTGTCAAAAATCAGTGAAAATAAACTCCATACAAAACACCCAAAATGCCTTTTCAGCAAAAATTAATTCCAACTCAAATAAAGTATTCTACAGTACCCAGATATGCATATAATTTACATATACAGTTTGTATTAGCATAATATTTGTATATTTAAGTGAGGAACTAGTACAACAATCAACACTTTTGGTAATTTGTACATGCGAGAGCCAACAACCGAGAATCACTTGCAGAGAGCACTGGGCCAATACAAAATCCTGTGAGGAATGGTAATACATACATGTATCTATATTTCAGGTGAAAATAAACAACAAAAAATGTATTTTTAATATCCAAATTAGCTGTATTTTTTTTTATTCCATTTACTTCAATCAAAGCACTAACACACTAACACTAAGCACAGATAAATCATAAATAATTCTAATACACAGTGACATCCTGCCCTGATAGGATTTCTATGATAAAGTTCATGACAGGCAACACCCACAACACAAACTATAAACAATTTATTGTATTTTGGCCAACTACCGGTACTTCACTGACGAGCCATACATGTACAACTACTTCACTGACGAGCCATACATGTACAATACTACATGTATAACTGAAACCACAATACAGAATATTTAACAATGCATCTCCGGAGATTGCTTCTCCCAAATTCCAAAATAAAAAATTTGTAATCAATTTTTGGATATTCAATGTCATAATCAGGTTATGGCATATGACCATGGAAATTCTAGGATGTTCATTAGCAAATTCAAGACATGCATACATTACATGTAAATATACAAAAATATGGACAGAATTTCAAACCTAAGTGTATCAAAACATGATCCCAAGATAGTTTTAACACACTGCTGAAAACAACATGTGATCAGATCAACCTACAGTGTAGTGTCAACTTGTCTTGACCCAGAGTTCAGTATTTAACTCTGATACAGGTAAGTGTGATCAAGGTCGCTGGGTCAAAAAGATATATTAGTTACAATGGAGAGCACTGTTTATGTTTATCACATTTTAATGCACACATAATGTATATCATGTAATGTGCATGATATATATGTTAATAAAAGCCACAAAATAAAAGAGCAATAATAATGCACATTGCAATTCTGATGACAGTGTTGGTTTAATTAAGTAGTCAATATGGTCAGTGCATGTTCCAAGCACTTGCTTCATCACAACATCGTATGAATGGTTCAAAGTGGACGTTTTCATGCAAGAACACATTTATTTAATTTTATTTAATAGCCAGTATTTATCGGATTGAAGATATTAGCCACTCATACTTCCATTTCCTGTCGACGAATCAGATCTTATTTACAGAGACAGCTCAACTCAAGCATGCACATGTTTTGAGGGGTCAACTGCCCTGCAAAAACAGTTACTTTTTGTGAAAAGTACAGGTGGATCGTTTACATGCAATGTGGAAAGTAACAGTATACGGAACTGACAGCTTTACATCACCATCCGAAAGGGAGCCATGCATCAAAGTATGAATGGCACAAGGTGGAACAGCACCGCTGAGAGTACAGCCGAACATGGCAGTCAAACGGACAGTCGAACATGGCAGTCAAACGTACAGCCGAACATGGCAGTCAAACGTACAGCCGAACATGGCAGTCAAACGTACAGCCGAACATGGCAGTCAAACAAACAATCTCTCCGATGATGGATGAACACACCAACCATTGTGCCACACATAATTTAATTGCACATGATTAGCATGGAGAGAGCTCATGAAACATATACAATGAGAAAGAGCCACGCCCATGGTTACGTAGTTAAGTGGACATGACGATTGGAGAGAACTATTTATGGGGCAAAAACACGTCACATGGTTCTCTGATCTCAACAAAACTTGGGGGGGGGGCATTTGATACTCATCCTTTAAATCAATAGTCCATATATTGAGAATGAAAATGGAAATTATGACTAAAAGAATCCGAAAATCTAGTCCCCACAATTACTCATTAACATTATTAAATAGCAACAATTTATCTAAATCCACAACATTAATGTATAAAATTTGGATTAATTATCAGCACAAAATGACACGTTTCTTTCAACAAGTACAGTGTAACTAAATTTGTTGAGCACACTTACAAATTAAATGTTCATAATATGAGGTTATTACGAGGATACCAAAAAGTATACACAAAGACAGTACAGCAAGAATATCTAGCATACTTTGTTGTATCCTCAAAATAACCTTATAATTATACATCTTTTCCTCCCAAGGATACATAATGGGAATGCTGAAATCCAAAAAGTTCAAACTTCTTTCTGTGGGGTCTGGTCAAATCCTAGGGGCTGCCATGTTTGTTTTGCTTACGTGTGTAATCATTCCATATTTGGAATTTGCATTTCCTAATATGGTAGGATACAAATATCCAGTGCAATATCGCAAAATTATTTATGATGTTATAGTGACAGATGTATAATAATGTAATTTAGGATTTTAAAAGTATTTTGAAGCATGTTTAAAGGGCAGTGGTTGTCAAGCAATGCACAATCCAATATTGTGTTAAACATATATTTTACATGGGGTGTACGGTATATACAATGTACATTGCGTGTCAAAATTGATATCAAAACACAACATCTATAAAATGCATCTCTGACAGAAGTGAACATAAACCAAACATTTTTTTTCATTATTTATCAAAATATGAGTTATTTTTATCATAGCAATATACCATTTATGGAAACATGACCTACAAATAAAGTAACAAAACAAACAGGGGAGATGAACTCTTGCCAACTCATAATCATGATGACCTTCATGTCAGTATCAGGTCAAACATCTACATGATGCAGCATTTTAAAAAAACTATTTAAGTATAAGCAGTTATACTCATGACATCCTTTCCAATTTATCGCTCAGTACAAAATATCATATATATAAAGCACCAATAACATTCATCACAAGTTAACATTCCACAACACTGACTGGAAATAGAGAAGTTGTATGGTCTCAGTAACCACATTGAAAAATCGTCTATATTGATAATGAATTAAAAGAAAATTTGAAATATAAAAATTTAATTGTACTGAATTAATAAATTTACATAAGTGTCATATTACAGGGGGGGGGAATATGATACAGCATATCTCAGAAACCCACATTTTAAGTTTTGTCAGGTTAATTACCCTGTATTGAGGAACTGCACACAAAGTGAAGTTGGTAATGTTGGCATCGTCACAATACCAGTGTGTCCAAATCAGCATAAATACCAGACTATGAATTAAGATGAGCAGAGGGTAAAGTTTGCTATTATTAGGAAACTCGTACTATTCCTGACACAAGTTGGATACCAAACCCTGCTACTCAACTTAATACACAGGTACCGCCATCATTAGAATTGTAACCTTTAATAATGCCAAAGTCTGCTTTTGTCATTTTTCACGAAATAAAACAATTTTTTTCTTCACAATATCAAAATGTATATGAAATTAGAATACTTGTCCATAAAGATCTAAAATTAACTGACATTTAAGAAAAAAACATAAAAATGTACAAACTGTTGCACCAAAAGTTTTTGCTTGAAAAAATAATGGTGCTCAAAAGGTTATGAAAACGCATAACAAATACAACACTTATTATTGATATTAAAAGTGATTGGAACATGACATGCAAGGTATTAAATTGGTATAATACACACTTCCAATGTGCATCTGTTGCAGTTCAGTGTTACTATGCCGACAACATTCCGTGACTACGCTGACAACAGCTGTAATGATCGGACATTGGATTTGATAAGATCGTAACAGAATGCTCAAGACAAATCAATATAAAATTTTAAAGGCTAAGGTCACCATGCAGCATTGTATACATAGCATGGGACTCCCATTGAACAGGATGCGACATGATCATCATCATATTTTAAATTAAAAGAATAAATTAGACCAAAATTATTAAGATTAAATATTAATTATTAAAATTAAGATGTCAGTCTTGTAAATAGACTACATGTAGTAGCATTAACTATTATAACGATATTGGAAAAATGAATTATTAATACATGTAATAACATTAAAACATTTTTTTATGAATACATTTGTTCATATATATTACATGTACCCCGGTATGAATGTATAAATATGCTATAGACCAGAATTAAAAGGAATTATTGCTACAAAGTCTGCATTTTTTTTAAATCATTATAATAATGATTATTTTTTTTATATTTATATAATTTCATTTGGTATTATCAGATTCTTTCCCCTCTTAATTTAATAAACAATGGCTAATTCTCTTGATATACATATTATGTAGTCGGTGAATGAAATACAGTGGAATATGAAGCATTTCTATGTCAGCAAACAGTTGACATGCGTTGTATTGTACAGGAACTATTTTTTCCCGTAATTGCAAGTCATGTTTGATATGACCCCATGCAACATAGCAGAAAATGCAAAATATTTTTAAAATGCACACAGCACAACATAAACATTTAAGTATTTTTAGTGGATATGATTACCTATTTATTTTTAAGTTTCAGATTATACAACTGATATGGCTAGACTTGTTGAAGCATCATGTCACTATACATACACATGCCTATTTTAAATAGACGATTTTCCGTTCAACCACAAGATCTCGCGAGATGCATGAGAGAGGCGCGTTGAACGTCTGCCGCAGAAATCAAACGATTTGATTTTGAACTTGAATTTCTTTATTTCGTAGCTCACATCGACCGGCCGATCTTCGACAGAGGAATATTGCTTCCGAATACTCTTATTTAATCGAAATTGTCTATCATCAAATGTGTACAGCACATTATTAAGCATGGAAATGCCCCCCAAAATATTTTCGCGTTTGTCGAATCCCACGCGATGTTTGATGCCACTACAACGCTATGACCTTTGTTTGTCCTGTTTTTACGTTCGATTTCTCGCAGTGAACGAAAAAT